GAAGCTCGCAGAGGCAGAGGTGCAGAAGATCGCGGGGGCGGAGGCAGAGTCGCATAAGTTCGCGGAGGCAGAGGCGCAGACCCTCGCAGAGGCATGCCAAGTACTAACCCTAACATTGGGTTGTACCCCATATGGGCTACCCCACTATAGCCTACACATAACTAGCACAGATATAGTTTGACACACCCGCATAGGCAAAGTGGGGGAGAACAAGGGGTCACAAAACCAGTCAAGAAAAGCAAAGCAAGCTTAGGGTGGATCACAACGTCACCACACACTCCGAGCACAAGCAAAGGGCCACAAGGCCAGTTCACATGCAGAGGTATATATGCAACAACAACAGTACAGTGATCAATACCTAGCAAGAGCAAGCATGCAGGTATATATATAAATCACAGTACAAGCAAAGTCACGAAGTGAGCAAGTGAGACGAAACAGGCACAAGGCCTAGCATAGTACAGAAGCGCTGATGATCAGAAGTGTTGGCCCGGGTGGCCACGTAAGCAACACGAAGCTGACCACGCTGCTGCAACTCTCGAGCAAGGAAGTAACGCAGAGAGATGTGCTTCGTTCTGTGCTCCAGTCTGTGCTCCTGACACAAGGTAATAGCAGCCTTGTTGTCTACGTACAGAACTAGAGGAGAACGAGGCCGCTCTCCCAAGTCGGTCAGCAGGTAGGTGAGCCAGCGTAACTCCTGTGCAGCCATGGTTGTGGCGTAGATCTCAGCCTCACAACTGGAGCTAAGAACAGAAGACGAGCGGGTAGACCGCCAAGAAACAGAGCCAAAGCCAAGGCTGAAAGTGTAACCCTGTGACGACCGCTGCGTAGCCAGGTCATCAACCCAAGACGCGTCCGAGTGTCCAGTGAAAACAACCTCACCCAATCCTCCAAGCACGAGCCCCATGCCCGATGTACTGCACAAGTAGCGCAACACCCTCTTAGCAGCCTCCAAGTGCTCTTGCCAATGTCTCCCAGGCGCAACGTAGCGAGCTAGGATGCTAAGGGGGTACGCAAGGTCAGGTCGAGTGCAGGTCATCAGGTACATGAGGCAGCCCACAAGCTCTGGGTATGGGCCACTCGGCTCTACGGACTCATCCGAAGGCAGAGCTGAGAGCGAGTGACCCGTAGCCATAGGAGTGGACTGTGGCGAGGACCAAGTGAAGCCGAAGCGCTGAAGGACCTGCTGCACCATGTGTGACTGAGTCAGAGTGATGGTGCGCCGTGCTCTGTCCCGGGTGATCTGCAAGCCAAGGTAGCTGCGCAGCTCACCCAGGTCTGTGCACGTGTGTCTTTTCTGCAGCTCCGACTTCACAAGGGCGAGTGCCTCCGTGTCAGCAGTGGCAAAGACCAAGTCGTCGCCGTACAGAAGGATGTAGAACGGCGACATCAAAGTGTTGGTGCGTAGAAACAGCGACGGGTCAGCAGTGGAAGGGGCAAACCCAAGAGCCGCAAGTGTCGTCCTAAGTGTGTCGTGCCACTCACGAGGCGCCTGACGGAGACCGTAGACTAAGCGGCGGAGGCTCCACTAGGTACCAGGAGGGAACGACCCAGTGAAGCCAGGTGGGCGGCGCAGCCAGATCTCCTCGTGTAGACTGCTCCACCACCACCAGCTCCAGCACCACCAGCAGCAGCACCCCCAGAACCGGCACCTCCAGCTCCAGGGTCTCCAACTACAATGTCGACAACACCGGCTCCAGTGCCTCCAGCTCCGGCACCTCCAGCAGTAGCGTCTCCAGCTCCAGCAGCGCGACTCCGAAGGCGGGTGCGCGAAGCAAGCCACTCGCGCAGCTGCTGCGGCGAGAGAGGTGACCGCTGCGACGCGGCACCAGGAGGACCTCCAGTAGACTCAGTACCCTTAGGCTCAGCACCAGCAAACTCGGAACCCCCTGCGCCAGTACCTCCAGGGCCAGCACCTCCAGCACCACTGTCTCCAGCTCCAGTGCCTCGAATACTAACACCACCAGTAGTAGTACCCCCAGAACTAGCACCACCAGCACCAGCAGCACCACCAGTCCCGGCAGCTCCAGTACCTCCGGTACGAGCACCTCCAGAACCAGAAACACCAGCACTCCCAGCGCCGGGGACTCCAACTCCAGGGGCGACAGCACCAGCTCCAGGGCCTCCAGCCCCAGTACCTCCAGTAGTAGCACCCCCAGAACCGGCACCTCCAGCTCCGGGGCCTCCAACGCTAGGGTCGACAGCACTAGCTCCAGGGCCTCCAGCCCCAGTACCTCCAGTAGCAGCACCCCCAGAACCGGCACCTCCAGCTCCGGAGTCACCAACTCCTGTGTCGACAACTCCAGGGCCTCCGGCTCCAGGGCCTCCAGCTCCAGCAGCGCCACTCCGAAGGCGGTAGCGCTGAGCGTACCACTCGCGCAGCTGCTGAGGTGAGAGAGCACCTCCAGTACCGCCAGTGCGAGCACCCCCGGGACCAGCAGCGCCAGCACCACCATCAGCACCAGTACTGGCAGCACCTCCAGCTCCGGCAGCTCCATTACCTCCAGGACGAGAACCTCCAGGACTAAGAGCTCCAGCTCCTCCAGAACCACCAGCACCACCAGCATCTCCAGCGCTAGCAGCTCCAGGGCCTCCAGCTCCAGTAGCACCACCAGTCTTGGCAGCTCCAGTACCTCCACTACGAGCACCTCCACAACTAGAATCACCAGCACTCCCAGCGCCTCCTTGACGAGCAGCACCAGCAGCTCCAACCGCAGCACCTCGAGCAGCCGTACCTCCAGCAGCAGGACCTCCAGCTCCAGCAACACGACTCCTCAGGCGGGTACGCCACGCAAGCCACTCTCGTAGCTGCTGTGGTGAGAGAGGTCCCCGCCGGAAAACAAGACCCGGAGGAACGCCAGCTGACTCAGCACCCCCCGACCCGGCACCCTCCAGCTCAGCACCCTCAGGCTCCGCACTCGTAGGCTCAGCACCCCCAGGCTCCACACCCCCCAGCACCTCACGCACAGGCTCAGCACCCCCAGACGCAGCACCCCGAGTAGCACCACCCCCAGCAGCACCAGAGTCAACAGTAACCGGCTGCAGAGGCGGCGAAGACGGTCGCGGCAGGAAATCCGGAGGGGTCTCCAAGCGTGGTGTGCGGCGGTAGGCCGCCGGGGCGTCAGCAGCAACGTCACCCCCCTCAGCTGGGCCAGAGGTGTCAGAAGTGACCTCCGAAGGATCAGCCAAGGGGAGTGGGTCTACCTGAGACACACCTGAAGGAGCAGGACCCTGAGGGGGGAGGGGGTCTACCGGAGGGGGACCTGGAGCGAGGAAAAGTGGCGGGGGAAGGAGAGGGGCAGTGCGGTAGGGAAAGAGATGGTACCTTTCTACCGTCGCTTCCCCTACCGCACTTCCCCTCTTCCCCTCTTCCTGAGAGGGGAAGACACGGCGCGAGGTGGGGTGGTAAAACTGCCAGCCAGGCGCGTCAGGGACAAAGCCAAGGAAGACACAGGGAATGGTGCGGGAGGAGAGCTTGTCCGCGGACGTATCGCGGACAAGGGCACGAGCACCCCAAACTCAAAAACATGACGCATCGCCAACCTCTCCCGTCCAACGCAGTGTGGGATCAGGACAGCAGGGAGACGAACTGCTCGGATCCAAGGGATCAGGACAGCAGGGACCTCACCCTTGGTGCGCAAGGGGAAGACCGTGGTGTAACGCGAGTAGTCGTCAACAACCAGCAGAAAGTACCGCTCACCACCCTGTCCACGAACGCGGGCTGGGCCCCACACGTCCAGGTGGAGGGTCTGCAGGGGAGCCTCTGTCGGGGGAAACGAGGAGGAGTGAGGAGCGGCGCACTGCCGCCCCTCGACGCAAGGAAGGCAGGGCGGCGCAGGCGAGGCAGGGAGGGGAGGGAGAGACCTGGGAAGACCAGACACAAGGAGGCGACGGTGCATGCCACGTAGACGTGGCAAGGAGGGGTGACCCAGACGGTGGTGCCAGAGAAGAGTCTGGTGCGAGAGGGAGCGACACTCACAAGAGGACGCTACCAGACCTGACGCAGACACCTGACCGACAGCAGCGACCTGAGGAGACACAGTCGTCAGTGTGTAAAGACTCGACCCTGGCCGACGAGTGAACGTGGCCAGGTGACGGCCAGTCCTGGAGCACGTACAGATCGCCACACGCTGTCCTCCAGGGGTAAAGGTGTCAACCCACTGGTCCTGGAGAACTGCGTTGCTCACCAAGTTCGTAGAGAACGAGGGGAGGTGAAAACCTGACAGTGAGCCAGACGGAACCGCCGGGCACGGAAGCACAGTGGTGGACCGTGCAAGGACTGGGCCCCCTGAGGGGTCAGCCAGAGACACTGCAACAGGTGCAGGGAGTGGTGTGAGGGCTGTACTGTCACGAAAGAAATAGCGGGAAGCACCTAAGTCAAGCGTGAAGGTGTGCAAGGCCTCAGCACGCGAAGTACCTGAGAGAGCAGACTCTCTAGCACCTAAGGCAGCAGCCTCACTAGCACCTAGAGCAGCAGCCTCTATTCCGGGGTCGTGCTGCACACACATGTAACAGTCACCCTCAGCACCACTCCCACTGCGGCCACCACCGCCGTCACCACTCCCTCCGCTACTACGAAGTGATGTCATAGCGTGCAAGCTAGGAGGAGCGCGACCTCCAGGGCAGTACGGAGTGAAGGCAGTAGCACGAGTAGCAGCGGGAGCAGTAAGAGCAGCAGAGCGGTTCGGTGAGGCTAGGCTGTAGCACCTCCAGCACTACTAGCAGCACCTCCACCATCAGCAGCAGTAGCACGAGCAGAAGGGCGGATCAGGTTGGGCAGGGCGGCTCGAGCTGGGCGGCGCGGGTAGTAGGGCGCGCGCTGTGCAGGGTAGCACAGCGCGACGCGCGGGCTGCAGAAGGGCGTGACGCGCGGGGCAGTAGGGCGCGACGCGCGGGCTGCAGCAGAGCGCGACGCGCGGGGCAGCAGAGCGCGACGCGCGGGCTGCCGTAGGGCGCGACGCGCGGGCTGCAGCAGGGCGCGACACGCGAGGCAGCAAAGCGCGATGCGCGGGGCAGCAGAGCGCGACGTGCGGGCTGCCGTAGAGTGCGACGAGTGGGTTGCAGCAGAGCGCGACGCGCGGGGCAGCAGAGCGCGACGCGCGGGCTGCCGTAGGGCGCGACGAGCGGGCTGCAGCAGGGCGCGACGTGCGGGGCAGCAGAGCGCGACGTGATGGGCTGCCTTAGGGCGCGACGCGCAGGACAGGGCGTGCGCGAGGCAGCGCGATGCAGGGCAGGGCCAGGAGTGCACGGGGCAGCGCGACGCAGGGCAGGGCAGGGCGTGCGCGGGGCAGCGCGACGCGGGGCAGGGCAGGGCGCGCGCGAGGCAGCGCGACACGGGGCACGGCGTACACAGGAAGTGTGACGCAAGGCAAGGCAGGGCAGGGCGTGCGCGGGCGGCGCGACGCAGGGTAGTGGGGTAACACGGTAACCGCAGGCGGTTGCTAAGTATGGTGGGCCCGAAAAAAAAAACGGTCCTACGGACCTACTGTTCTGAAACCATGTCAAGATAACAACAGGAATGAGTGCATTGAATGAGTTCTGGGTACAAGTACTAACCCTAACATTGGGTTGTACCCCATATGGGCTACCCCACTATAGCCTACACATAACTAGCACAGATATAGTTTGACAAGGCAGAGGCGCTGAAGAACGCGGGGACAGAGGCAGAGTCGCATAAGATCGCGGAGGCAGAGGCGCAGACTCGAGCAGAGGCAGAGGCGCACAAGATCGCGGGGACAGAGGCAGAGGCGCGTAATATCGCGGAGGCAGAGGCACACACCCTCGCAGAGGCAGAGGCGCAGAAAATCGCGGGGACAGAGGCAGAGGCGCGTAATATCGCGGAGGCAGAGGCGCAGACCCTCGCAGAGGCAGATGCGCAGAAGATCGCGGGGACAGAGGCAGAGGCGCATAATATTGCGGAGGCAGAGGCGCGGAAGCTCGCAGAGGTGGAGGCGACGAAGAGGACGGATGCTGGGGCTCAGAAAATGGTTGTGGCAGAGGCACGGAAAAATGCGGATACAGAGGCAGAGAAGTTTGCTGAGGCAGAAACGCAGAAAATCGCTGAGGAGGAGGCGCCGACGAATGCAAGGGCAGAGACGCAGAATAGGGTAGAGGCAGAGAAGCATAACATGGCGGATGCAGAGGAGCATAAGATCTCGGAGGCAGAGGAGCGGAAGAGTGCGGATGCAGATGAGCCGAGCATCGCAGAGGCAGATGCGTAGAAGAAGGGGGGGGTAGAGGCGCAGAAGTACCTTCCGTCAGAGGCGCGGAATAACGGAGATGCAGAGACGCAGAAGAAAACGGAGGAGGAGGCGCGGAAGAGAGAGGAGGCTAGTGTGAGTCGCAACCAGGCAGATGCAATGGAGACAGAGGAGGTGGCAGGGAGGATTCAAACGGCAGGCGAGGATCACCAACGACGAGTGGTACGCGAGAGTGGTGCGGAGGAGGAAGAGGATGAGGAGGTAGATCCGTGGGTACGGAGGTTTCTGGGAGGAAATTCAAGGGAGAGACCAGAAGTTGTGGCTGAGGGGGCATGGAGCGTGGCAGAAGATGGAGCGCTGAGGGATACAGTAGAACGTCCAAGGCAGAGGCAGACAGAGCGAATGGAAGATCTGCGTCGGAGAGCTGAGGAGACAAACCGATTGCGGGAGAGGGAGCAAGAGACTGACTTCCAGGAGAGGGGTCCTCACATGCCAACGTGGGTGGAGGTAGAGTGGGTGGAGGCAGAGGCGGCAATTCGGCGAATGCTGCTGCGCACGGCCACAGTGCTGGTTGAAGAAGGTGACGGGTTCGTCGAGGATGAGAGCTGGGACATAAGCCCGGGCGAGGTCACGCGTCGTCTAACCCTACTAGCTAGAATGATGGCGCAGACCTTCTGTAACTTGACGGCCCGCGACAGGAGTATCACTCGTGACGTCACTGATCAGACCGTCCATTACTGCTGCGACGCCCTCGACAACATGGCGGAGCTCCGCCATGGAAACGAGGATCGGCGGCGGGAAGCACAAACGGCGGCCGAGTTTCGCGTGCAGATCGGTTCGACTCTCTCTATCTTGCAGGCCAGTATACTAAGCGTGAAAGATCAGGTTCGCCAGTCAGGAGGGGAGATGAAGGAGGGGATGGTGAGGGAGGTGGAAGAGAGGTTGAAGGCGGTTTTGAGAGAGGACACCGAGCGGCGGAAGAGGGAGAGACTGCATGAGGAGGCGCGAAGGGAGAAGGAGGCGGTTAAGAGGAAGGAAGCAGAGGACGCCGAGAGACGGAAGAAGGAGACGAGGGATGGCATTAAGGAGTTGAAGGAGGTGATGAAGTCGATGAAGGAGTTGAAGGCGGGTATGAAGGAGATGAAGCATGGTATGTTACAGCAGGTGGTAGAGAGGATGACAGCGGTTCTGAGAGAGGACTCTGAGCGGCAGAAAAGGGAGAGACAGCGGGAGACAGAACGGCGGCAGAAGGAGGAGGCGAGCAGGAAGGAAGCCGATGATGCCGAGCGACATAAGAAGGAGAAGCATCAGGATGAGGACCGCCGAAAGAAGGAAGAGGCGAGGAGGAAGGAAGCCGAGGAAGCCGAGAGACGAGAGGCGAAGAAACAGGAGGAGGAAGAGCGTCGGCATAAGGAAATGGAGGAGGGGATGAAGGAGATGAAGAAGTTGATGAAGGAGATGAAGGCGGGGATGGAGGAGTTTAAGGAGGGGATGCTAAGTGAGGTGGAAAAGAGGTTAACAGCGGTTTTGAGAGTGGACTCCGAGCGGCAGCAAACGGAGGAGGCGGCGACGAAGGAAGCTGAGAATGCCAAGGGGCTGCTGCGGGAGAATCAGCGGGAGGAGGAGCGGGAGCGGCGGCAGAAGGAGGAGGCGAAGAAGAAGGAAGCAGAGGATGCCGAGCGGTTTCAGAGGGAGAATCAGCGGGAGGAGGATCGGCGGCAGAAGGAGGAGGCGAAGCGGAAGGAAGCGGAGGATGCCGAGCGGCTTCAGAGGGAGAATCAGCAGGAGGAGGATCGGCGGGAGAAGGAGGAGGCAAAAAATAAGGAAGCAGAGGATGCGGAGCGGCTGCAGAGGGAGCAACTGCAGAAAGAGGAGCGACGGCAGAAGGAGGAGGCGAAGCGGAAGGAAGCGGAGCATGCCGAGCGGCTGCAGAGGGAGAATCAGCAGGAGGAGGATCGGCGGCATAAGGTGGAGGCGAAGCGGAAGGAAGCGGAGGGTGCCGAGCGAATGCAGAGGGAGAATCAACAGGAGGAGGAGTGGCGGCAGAAAGAGGAGGCAAAGTGGAAGGAAGCGGAGGATGCCGAGCGGCTGCAGAGGGAGAATCAGCAGGAGGAGGAGCGGCGGCAGAAAGTGGAGGCGAAGCGGAAGGAAGCAGAGGATGCCGAGCGGCTGCAACGGAAGAAACATCAGGAGAAGCAGCACGAGCGAAAGCATCGGCGAGCTCTGAAAATGGCCAGAATAGCGTCTTTTGAGGAAGAACAAAGGCTACTGGAAGCTAAGGTCAAGGCCATGGCCGTAGAAAAGGAGCGATTGGCACGGGAGATGGAGGAGGAGGAGTCGACAACGCAGGGGGAGGGGACTGGTGGAACTAGGGAGGAGGAGGAAATCACTGAGGGCCTGGAGATGGTGCGGTTGGAAGAGGGGGGGGGAGGCGAATGGAGCAGATGCCACGGCTATTGTTGTCGGACAGAACGGAGAGGGGTCAAGAAGGCGGCCAAGGGAGGAGGAGAGAGAGCCGGAGGGACATGCGTATAAGAGACGGCGTGCAGCTGGCATTCAGGAGTTGATCCCGATGACCCAGGGGGAAGTTAAGGGGGTGAAGATCGAGAAGTGTGACAATAGGAGAAACGAACTGGTGGACAGTAAGCGAAAGACTTGGGGTGTGAGGCTGCCGTTCAGGGGCAGCGGGTTCTCACACCGCGGCGAGGGAACATTTCAGAAGTGGACGTGTGAGCAGACAGTGGGCGGCCGGAAAAGAAACCTGGGATCCCACAAATCCGTGTGGGAGAGGGGCTACACCGTCGCAATCTGCTGGAAGGCCTACTTCTCGGATATTGACATGGTGGCCTACGATATAAATCCAAGTCGTTTACCCGCGTGGCGCGAAGAGCTGCTGTTCGCACGAATGATTCCAACGGGGTTGTGGAGCGTCCTGAACGAGCTCCACCTCGACAAACCAGACGCGTGAGTGTGCTTGAGATGAAAGCTGCAGATTCCTAACACACCCCGACATTCGGAGGTTCTGATGTAACTACATGGCTGGCTTGTGCAGATTCTCCCTCGTGCAGACCAACACACCTGAGAGGCAGCAGAAGAAGGATCACTTCCAGGTAGCTGTCTCCGCGGCTGTTGAGATAACAACATGGCAGAAGCACGTGGGGGGCGTCGACGGCGAAAACGGGTATTCTGCAGAAGAACACGCAGTCGGACTGGCAACCACATTGTCTGTAATGTGGGATGCCTCCACGAATGTGGAGCGAAGTCAATGGCAGACGGGCGCATCATCTGCTGCGCACGCAACTTCTACTACCATCGCTTCTTACATTGCCCGAGCAGTCTCTGCTACCACCGCCGCTGTTGCTGCCCCAGCAGTGTCTGCTGAGCCCACAACTTCTGCTGTCCCCTCATCTTCAGCTGCTGGCGAGACTTCTGCCTTCCCTTCTGCCCTAGCGTCGCTTGCTGCATCGGTTGCTTGCGTCACAGTTCAGGCAATGAATTCCGTCGCGGATCAAGCGCACGACAAGGAAGCCTGGATTCTGCCCCTTTCGGATGCGCTACTGAAGGAGCTTCCAGAAGAATCGCGAGTGGGCAACGGTACGAAGCGGATGACGATGGTGGTGGCGAAGGTGTTGACCTCTTGGTGCCTATGCTGCATGGCATCGAGAGGCCTTCGTGAACACCACGGCGTCAGCCTCGACGTCCTGCAGAAGAAATTGGGCAGCCGGGAGACTACTACTGGAGGAGAGAAGGAGAAGAAGATCAAGAAGTCGTCTGCGAAGGGGAAGGCGCCGAAGGGAGCGTCGAGGGATGAGAACACCAGCACCGGCGGACAGGAGTGATAGAGGAGGATAGGTGTTCTGGTGGTATAAACTATAAGTGCTGAAGAATAAGTTGATTTAGTTTTCTAAAGCCTGTATGATCATAACTGCTATTGTACAGCAGGTCTATGAGAGATTTCTGATTTGACCGCAAACCTAATATGGGATCACAAATGTACATAGGACACAAGGCATAAATGCTGGATACGCAGAAATTGATCGTACATGCATTTGGGATACAACGATCTAGACATGTCGAAGCACAATCGCCACCAATACGTAGGGGCGCAGAATACCCACCTGTGTATAGTGCCGTAATGTTTTGCAGATATATACCGAAAAAGGTTGTCAGTCCGCATAAACTCCTTCTATGCATAAGATCGACGACACTGTCACCATCCACAAGCACCGATTTGTCTTCGACCGTTAGCCCCAGAATGTCGACGTATGCATAAGGTTGAAGTCATCTACGCCATCTCCAAAAGACTAATCGTCATAACCATATGGCAATGTGCCCATCCCCTTGCAACAAATGATATGCGAGACGAAACGGCTGGAAATCCTCATATGCCGAAGAATATCCTCCTACGCTTAGGGCCAAAATGTTACGCATAGTTATACACTGTGCATAACGAGGTCCGGAAAAAGTCCTCCGATGCAGAAGATTGCACACAAAGTGATCATTGATCCTCGAAGATTGGTATACGGCAGGTAAACTTATACGACATGACACCGCCGAAACTTCTCATATGCATAATGTCGAAGTCTTTGTCCCCATCGTATAACACAACGTAACCGCGTAAGAACACACCTCTACAATGTTGTCCGTGGAGCAACGAGCTCTAGATCGAATGGGAAACCATAAGGTAAAGAACAACGTGATCGCAGAATGGAAACCCCCACAAATGTTGAGAAGTTATTTAATACGTCTACCCCTTAAGCGTAAAGATGCATGCCCATCTCAGCCCGTAGAAGCCCTAAACCGTAGAGGACGAATGTCCAGGAAGAGCATTTCCGCGCCTATCATTTCTCTGCTGCACCCGCCATCGCCTTTCCCTGTTCCGCCTTCCTCGCCTCTGAAGCACGCTTTTTCTCCTCCTCCGCTTTCTCCTTCGCCATCTCTTCCTTTTTTATCACCTCCCACTCATCCCCAAAGAGCGCCGTTCCCCAATCTTCGTCGCACAGCCCCAGTTTGACTATCAACCAGCTGACTTTGCGCTGCGCCAGGTCGTTGACGGTCCTCTTTTCCGTCGAACAACCGGTTTTCTGTCTCTTGTTGGGCGGAGTGTCATGGAGCACCGCCAGACCGTTGGTGAATTCGGTGAAGTTGCACAAGAGGAGCACATCGTCGAGCCGCTTAACAGCCGTTGCAGTCGCCGCCTCGGAGCTGTCTTCTCTCAATGTCTCCACAGTGGCCATGACAAGATGCACGTGACGCATCTTCCGCTCGCATGCAGACTGACTCATCGCGGGCTCACCTTTTGTCGATGAAGAAGCTGTTGTTCTTGTTCCTATCCTGGCCGAACTCTGCGCAGACATCACGCAGAGACATGCCGCCCATGATGTAGCTTGGCTGAACCCACAGTCTCCACGCAGCCGCCAAAGTCGTGAATTGGCGCCAAGGCACAACGCCCACGACGAAGAAATCTTCCATCGCAACTGGTCCTTTGGGTGCGTCCGTTGCCTGGCTTGAACCTGCTCCCGCGCCCTTCGACGATTCGTCGACCTCTGCAGGGGTGTCTGCAGCGTCTTTCCTGGCCGCCACCAACCTCTTGAAAGCCTCGAACTCTGCCACGAGCCGAGCTTTAACCTCTCGCTCAGCATCGCGTTCCTCCCTCAGTTTCGCGTTCTCCATCGCCAACTGCACTTCACGTCCTTTCGACTTCCCGAGATCCTCCCTGAACAGATTGGCGGTGAGGTACATCTTCTGCATCTTTTCCTCGGTGGTCGTGCGGAAGATAGCATCTTGCAGAAATAAACACGTCAGAACTCTGCTAAAATGGATAGCTCTCTCTACCACAAATAGCAGACACTTACTGCATTGGCGGTGGTTTGGCTGGTCTTCCGAAGCTTCTCGCCCTCAAAGTGAAAGCTAACAACCAAGTACGCCCACTTTTGGAACAAGGGGTGGTTGCACAAGGGGCTCATCTGCACATATGGATGCCGCTCGCGATTGCACCGCGGAAATCTCACGCCGTGCTGATGGTAGAACACCCACATCATAGCCAGATCGTTTGCAACAACGAGGCGTCCGACCATCCCGAGGGTCTCGAGGAGCCTCACCCCCGCATAGTGCCTCTTCAGCGGGTCGGTCTGCGCATTGTTCCATGCATGGACCTGAGGGGACGAGTAGGCAGGAGAAATGCGACGGTTCAAAAATGCGTATAACAAATCACATACGAACACGCAGACTCCATACCGTACCTTCTTCAAATCCTCTTCGAACGTGGGGAAGATGTGAAGGCGCATGAGATTCAGCAGCTGCCACCACTCATCCTTCTCTTTATCCTTATGACGCGGAAGCTTAGCGCGGGCTCTGCCGATGTAGTAGTCTCCACGATCCCCGCTGAATCCAGCCAGCAGAAAAACCGGCTTGAACGGAATGCCCATCACATAAGACCTCCGCATCTCCCCCTGCTGCCATCCGCCCAGACTGCCGATGTCGTTGTTGGAGCAACCGTCGCATATCATGGAGTTGTTGCGCTCCAGATCTGCGGAACGCATGTGTCACCTTGCTCAGAATCCATTTCCCCTTATCCATGGCCCAACAAATCCAGGTGCAGTGCGTTTTGTAGTGCATCTTATCTTGCTTCTGCTTTCCCTTGTCCATCTTCTTCTTCAAGGAAAAGAAGAGATGCGCTTTCGTCCACTTGAGCGGTTCAGAAAAGTCGAGAGGCTCGACGATACCGGGGCCGTAGCGCAGAGGAAGGAGGTCGTAGATGAAATGAAGCCACAGGAAAACATGACCCAATCCGCAGAGCCACCAGTCCCTAAGCCTTGCAAGCAACTGTTGACTCAGCTTGTTGCTGATGTTGGTCTTCGATTTCCTAGAAACGACGACGAGTACCAAGATGTCCAGATAGTCGTCGAGGTGTGAGGTGCTCCGCGTGATGTTAGAATATATCTGTAACTGCTTGTAGCTGTAGTTTAGTGTAGTTATTATATACTGTTGGTGGTGCACCTTCTTTGCATGCTCTGTTTGCTATATGTACCCTAGTGCTATAGTGAACATCATTCCCATTCTCTCGTCTTGGCACAAACTCACTCGACTCCCCTTTGGCCTAGGCTACTAAGCCTAGGCCCTAAACCTAACTACCACTTGTGCTAGTATTCTAACATGGAATCAGAGCCTGTTAAGTCCAGGCCTGTGGGCCCGCCTTACGCTTCCGCTACAGTTTTTCCGGTCGCGCGCCTCGGGCGCGTGGCGATTTTCGTCCTGTCCCGCGCCCGGGTGGCGCGTGACATCTTTTCTGCCCGTCGCACGCCCCGTGGCACGCGACGGTGCCCTGCCCGTCGTGCGCCCCGTGGCACGCGACGGTGCCCTGCCCGTCGTGCGCCCAGTGGCAAGCGACGGTGCCCTGCCCGTCGTGCGCCCCGTGGCACGCGACGGTGCCCTGAACTGCCCGTCACGTGCCCCGTGGTGTGCGACGGTGCCCTGAGCCGCCGCGGACCCGCCCCTGGCGCCCGCGACGGTGCCCTGAGCCGCCGCGGACCCGCCCCTGGCGCCCGCGACGGTGCCCTGAGCCGCCGCGGACCCGCCCCTGGCGCCCGCGACGGTGCCCTGAGCCGCCGCGGACCCGCCCCTGGCGCCCGCGACGGTGCCCTGAGCCGCCGCGGACCCGCCCCTGGCGCCCGCGACGGTGCCCTGAGCCGCCGCGGACCCGCCCCTGGCGCCCGCGACGGTGCCCTGAGCCGCCGCGGACCCGCCCCTGGCGCCCGCAACGGTGCCCCTGCTTCACCCGCGCCTGCACTCGCTGCAGCGGCCCCTGCACCACCCAGCGTCTGCCCTTGGAGCAGCCGCCCCCACTCCTGCACTCGGTGCAGCCGCCTCTGCCTCACCCCGCACCTGCACTCTCTGCAGCCGCCCCTGCCCTACCCGCGCCGACCCTCTGTTGCCGCTCTGCGGCTTTCTCCCCGCCCACCCCCTCCTCCTTCGTCTCCCTGCAGCCGTGGGGGGGAGGGTATGGGGGTGGCGGGTGTGGGGGTGATGGGTGGTGTGCTTCCCTTCCCCTCCTCCTCCTTTCGTTCCCACTGCTGCAGCTGCCGCTGGGGGGGAGGGTGTGAGGGTGTGGGGGAGCCGGGGGAGAGGCACTGGGGTGGCGGGTGTGAGACCAACCAGCAGCCGTCCCTCCACCTCTCCTCTCTTCCCCCCTCTGCTGCTCCTGCAGCAGTGTGGGGGGGACGGGGAGGGGGAGGGTGAGGGGATGGAGGGGGTGACCAGCCAGAGCCAGCCCGCCTCCTCTCTCTCTCCCTGCTGCCCCTCCTGTGGTCGGGGGGGGGGGGAGGAGAGTAAGGGGGTGGCAGGAGTGTCTTGTTGTCGCCTGTCCCTTTGCTGCTGTACCTGCTCTGTTACCGTGCCTGCTACTGTTGCTGGTGTACCCCTGCAGGTTGTGTTCTGCACAAACTCCTGCTGCAGGCAGTTATGGGGGAGTGTTAGAATATATCTGTAACTGCTTGTAGCTGTAGTTTAGTGTAGTTATTATATACTGTTGGTGGTGCACCTTCTTTGCATGCTCTGTTTGCTATATGTACCCTAGTGCTATAGTGAACATCATTCCCATTCTCTCGTCTTGGCACAAACTCACTCGACTCCCCTTTGGCCTAGGCTACTAAGCCTAGGCCCTAAACCTAACTACCACTTGTGCTAGTATTCTAACACGTGATGCGGACAAAGAGGTTCCCAAGGCGAATCTTTCGAATGCTGCACCCTCTTCCCAGAAATTGGTGTCAGAGGTGCATCATAACTAGCACTTGCAGAGCCTTCCAGAGAGGGAGCGAGATATGTGTAGGAGGCGTCCGCCACCAGATTTCTTTGAGTTCTTTTTGCAGAACAGTGTGATGTAGCGTCCTATACTAGCTTGCCGTATAGCAGTCGGAGATTGATCCGCGGGTTTGATCACGACCAACTCTGCATAGAAGAAGACAGTCATTATGTACGCAATGTAGAGAAACATTTACACAATCAGAAAGCAAACCTCGAAATCACTCACGTGACTAGCTCCTCGTTCAGCCCCTTCAACCTCACTTTGAGAAAGTCCCGACCCTCCTTAATCCAGTCCTTGGTTATTGTGATGGATAACCCGTAGAGCCTCGCCTCGCATCTGGCAAGGCATCCCATCGCGTTCATCTTTGCCTTGATCATGGAAGCTGTGCTCCCCTTTGCCTCCTTCCCCGCGTATTTCTGAACGTCTGGCCATATTTTATCACGCAAGTCTGTTTCGCCTGCAAGTATGTTTCGCAGAAGAGGAACTGGATGTATCGGCCGAGCCTCCAGTTCGTGACTCGCGGCCCATGCAGATGAATCTGCCACTCGTCAGAGCTGCTCGCCCATCCATAATTTCCCAAGTTATTGTTCAGAGCAAATCCAACCTCGTCGTACAAAGAGGGAGCCAGCCTATCGACCACAGGGATATCCACCATCGTTGCCATGAAGATTATCACCCACCACTTGAAATGCAGAAAGTGGAAACAATAGTGCCTTCTCGTGTCGGGTTCTATCAGTCAAAGTGGGATGGTTGAACGGCCGATCCTGCTCGCCATTTCCGCAACGTCGGCCTGCCGCTGCCCATTTCCTACCGTCGCACCCTGCTCGACATGGCTAGCAGAATTGATTGGTTGTCCTCGCCGCGATGAGTCTCCCTCTTCTTCTGTGTCAGAGTGATCTCTATCCTCCTCGTACACTTCTTTTGGCTCACCGGGTCGTGTGCGCACTTCATCGCCTCCCGGTCCTTCACTCCCTACACTCCTCTTGACTTCTTCAATATGGATGGAAGGTTTGTAGAAACCACCCTGAAACAAATCCTCCTCGGTCGTGTCAAACTCGCGATCGTTCTCGCGATCCTGTGCGTAGACTTCTTCGGTATTTTCTTCGTCCTCCAGGTCTTCTTCTCCATCAACTGCGTCCTGGGCAGACCCTGGGCGAGGCAGGACCATTGCATCGGCCATTAACAGATGCCTATTTTATGCGCAAAGCACCAAGACTACGAAATATTTGGAAGTTGTCGTAACCCAGTAGGTGGAAAGGATTCGCAGGTATGCAAAGAAATTATGGAGAATGCATAGTGGGCTAAGCTGTTGAACAACGTCTCTTATTCAGACTTCTGCACATGGGTCTACGAATGCCGACGCTTCTACCTTTAAATCTATCTGCACCTACAACTTCCGTATGCAAAACCGGCACCCTTTTGTTCTACCGCTATAATTCCCTACAACGAATCTCCAAAAAAAAATTCTGAATATTCTACCGATCGAGTTTTCTACGACAACCTTATGCTTGTACATGCACATTCTAATTTCGACGATAGTATGGATCGAGAGCGATAATTATACCGATACGAATCGCTATGACTAATCTCAGCGGCTACCTAAGCGGGCGACACACGACAAATGTATAGGTCGAATACCCACAGTTATACTGATCGGATGATCTACCACATACTTTTGCGCCTACATAAGCGACCGAATATGTGCGACTAAAAAAATCCGAAACCGGGCTGACAAAAAAAAAAAAAAAAAATCGCAACCTAGACGACCTACGACACTACGTCGAGGATGCAAGTGTTATGCAGGTGGGTCCAGCAGGCTGTCAAGACTACACGGGTACGTAACACGTACTGGATGAAAAGGTCTCAAAGAGCTTGCGGACCATGAAATGCAAATGAAAAGGAGCAAATGAGCACAAAACCAACCATTCATACCCATCCA